GTCCTCTCACTGGGAACCACTGAAAAGAGTCTGGCTCCCTCCTCCTTCAACCCTCCCTTGAGATACTTGTCAGCATTGATAAGGTCTCCCCTCAGCCTTCTCTTCTCCAGACTAAAGAGTCCCAGCTCTCTCAGCCTTTCCTCATAAGGGAGATGCTCCAATCCCTCAATCATCTTTGTTGCCCTTCGCTGGACTCTTTCCAGTAGTTCCCTGTCCCTCTTGAACTGGGGAGCCCAGAACTTGTTTATATCCTTGAACTGGGGAGCCCAGAACTGGACTGTTGTATATAAACAAAAAGGAGACCAGGGAGGATGGATTTATCTCTTTGGGCACGAAGCAATATTGCAGAGGTGCAAAGTGAAAGGTTTTTATAGCTGAAGTATGAAACCAAGTTGGTGAATTTTCCCTGGGACTCGGATCTGCCTGGAAAGGCCCAGGAGGGGCGTTTCTTTCAGTCCCTGCGTGTACGGTTTCTGCTGGGAGGCATCTGGTGTTTGTGCTGCTTGTTGCCAATAAATCACAAGGTTTGCCTCCCACTTTATCATGAATAATGAATTCCGATTCCAGCCCCGCGCTGGACCCCAGCCAGGATTGTGTCCTTCTGCCTCAAGAAAGAGCCCCCCTGCTTCCCATGACAACAGCTCAGCCAAAATGCAACCTCCTTCCCCCCCCCTGCCCTTCCTCCAACCAGCTCAGGCTTCTGGAAGCCAGCACTAATTCAGTCAGATAATTTATGGACGTAGGCCGGCTCTAAAAACAGTTGCATATTGTACTGGAGTGTTTACTCAACGAGAAAATAATTACTTTCAGTAATTGTTCTGTCGGGCAGCCCGGGCCCGGTTTGTGACATAAAGAGGCTGGCTTGCGTGAGAAGGGCATGGTCCTTCCCAATCCTAACGCTTGTCTCTTGCTTTTCATCCTTCTCAATAGCCAGCCCAGAATTCTCTTCTCTGTTAGGCTTGTGGGAATTAAAAACGTTCCTTAAGGGAGGAAAATGGGGTGAGAAACAGCGAGTTCAGCACCGGGAGCGGAGACTGGCCGTGCTCATCTCAGGTCCAAAGCCCTTCTCCTTGCAGCCTGGAGAAACTCCTCCTCATCTTTTCCTGACTTTGGAGTGAGATGATGGTGGTGACCTGCTACAAGGGGATGCTCTGACACCACGAGCACAGACACTAGAATGCAGCCGTAGGGGTTAATATCTTGATTTAAAACCTCAAGGCCAGGTCTGTGTTTGGTCTAGAGATCAGAGAATCAGAGAATTATTTAGGTTGGAAAAGACCTTTGCACTCATGGAGTCTAACCATAAACCTAGGATGACCAGTCCATTCCCCACAATAATCTTTTGGATCATTTTTTCTCTCTTGGCCTGTCAGTGAAGTGTTTATAAACAGCATGACCAGTCCATTCCCCACAATAATCTTTTAGATCACATTTTTCTCTCTTGGCCTATCAGTGAAGTGTTTATAAAAAAATGGCAGTTTTCCTTGATTTGCTGTTTGAAATCATGTTGGATTTCTCTTTACGGCTCTTGATCTGCAGCTGCTCTGGGCTGGGTGAATCCCAGATACCTGCTGGCCTTGGCTGCTTTTGAAGACATGAACGTTACCCGGTGTGGTTCTGTTTCTTTATAGGCTAAATGTTGCTTTTAGAGGCTGTTTCCATCCTCTATATTCATGATTTTGTATTCACACTGTGCTTTCTAACATGCCTTCCTGGAGCCCAGAGACACTGGTGATGGAGCTGGGAGACGCACTCGGAGACCACACAGAGCTTGAAATCATGTTGGATTTCTCTTTACGGCTCTTGATCTGCAGCTGCTCTGGGCTGGGTGAATCCCAGATACCTGCTGGCCTTGGCTGCTTTTGAAGACATGAACGTTACCCGGTGTGGTTCTGTTTCTTTATAGGCTAAATGTTGCTTTTAGAGGCTGTTTCCATCCTCTATATTCATGATTTTGTGTTCACACTGTGCTTTCTAACATGCCTTCCTGGAGCCCAGAGATGCTGGTGATGGAGCTGGGAGAAGCACTCGGAGACCACACAGAGTTGCTGCTTGAAATTCACTTATTCTGCCTTGCAGAGTTTATATCTGGAAGGGGAACGAACACCTTCAGAGCAAATGTGTTTATGAACCCACCCAAGTTCTTAAAAAAACTTCCTCACAGGATGGATTTTACTCCTGATACTGGAAAAATGTGACACCTGGCCATAATCCAGTGTATTCCTTTTAATTTTCACTTTGGAATATTATTGTTCTGCCAGTTAATTGTTATTGACTTTAATATTAGCTGCATATAAATGTATACATTTATATACATAGACATGAAGAATTATTTGGCTATAAAAACAATGAATAAATAACTTGTTGGAGTCCTCTAGCCTTATTTATGTTACAAGTTACGTGGACTTCACTGAAAACTCTCCAATTGATTTAGCTCAAGTTGCCCTTTCCGTGAATTCCCCTAAGCTGATGTAACATGTGGATTTAGCTTAAATCACTAAGTCTTGAGCTAAGTGCTATAAAGTTATCATAACTTTAAAAAAAAGCAAGTTACCACCCTCCTCTGAGCCCTGGTATATGATTGCACACTCTTGCTCTGCCCCAGGTGCAAGATGAAATGTTTTATCTTAAACCACGTTTTTTCGGGTGGTGGTATCATTAAGGGATTTCTTTTTCTCAACCCCAGGGAACCAAGCCCATGGCACTCATTAATACTGTTCTGTTCTTCTCTGCAGGAGAAAGAAAGGAGGAGGAGAGACCCCAGACCTGAGCTGGCAGGCGGCTGAGAAGAGAAAGAGAGGGCGTCGTGGATCTAAGAAGCTCCAGAAGGCAAAATCACGGGCAAGTATCACCGGCTTGTAATTACATTAATTGGGGCCTGGTGTCAGGTACAACCAGGAACATTCTTAGCTCAGAGTTTTTTGGTAACTGCCCATCCCTAAGGGACCAGGGAACCAAGGCCATGGCACTCGTTAATACTGTTCTGTTCTTCTCTGCAGGAGAAAGAAAGGAGGAGGAGAGACCCCAGACCTGAGCTGGCAGGCGGCTGAGAAGAGAAAGAGAGGGCGTCGTGGATCTAAGAAGCTCCAGAAGGCAAAATCACGGGCAAGTATCACCGGCTTTTAATTACATTCACCGGGGCCTGGTGTCAGGTACAACCAGGAAGATTCTTAGCTCAGAGCTTTTTGGTAACTGCCCATCCCCAAGGGATATTCCTGGCCAGGAGGAGGACACAAAGCCCCCCACGTCTGGCTGCTCCGGGGACAATCTGCCTAGATTTCCTTTGGTGGGAAAAGGATGGCAACTGTCTGAGTGCAGGCACTGACCTCCTTATCCTCCTCCCTCACATCCCTTCTTCCTAGGATCCCACCAGCCACTCCCTTTCCGTGCTTTGGATCCATCCTCTGACAAACACTTGCATCTCTTCCCAAAGCTTCATTTCTCCCCTCGTGACTTTTGATGGCTGTGGTTTGATGTTCATAGAATAGAATCATAGAATCATAGAATCATTGAGGTTGGAAGAGACCCTCGGGATCATGGAGTCCAACCATCTCCCCTACTCTACAAAGTCCTCCCCTACACCATGTCCCTCAGCACTGCATCTAAACGGCCCTTAAACACAGCCAGGGATGGGGACTCCACCCCCTCCCTGGGCAGCCTGTTCCAACGCCCGACCACTCTTTCGGTGAAAAATTCTTTCCTAATGTTCACTCCAGGCAGCACAAGACACACTTCCCCCAGACTGTAGAGCTGCAGGGGGTTGTTGTGGCCCAAGTGCAGGACCTGGCACTTGCCCTTGTTAAAACTCATGCCGTTGATCTTGGCCCAGTGATCCAGTCTATCTAGGTCCCTCTGTAGGGCTTCCCTATCCTCCTGGGAGTCACCACTCCTGCTTAACTTGGTGTCATCTGCCAACTTGCTGATGATACACCCTATGTCCTTATCGAGATCATCAATAAAGACGTTAAATAGAAATGGTCCCAGCACTGAGCCCTGAGGCACACCACTAGTGACCAGTTTGTTTATTCTCCCCTCGTTGCGCTGAGCCCGAGCGAGCAGCCCCAAGGTCCCTAATACTGAGGCTTCATTGTGCTCGTGGCGGGGAAAAATAGGGCATCCTCAGATGAAAGGAGTGTGGGGAAGTCAGGCTTCCAGAAAGCACCACGGGCCTAAGCTTTTGGAGATAGAGCAATAAAGAACTGCCAGGAGGAGGACGTGCTCACCAGCGTATCGGGGGGTTCTGGGACCTGGGAGCATGTTTCCTGAGCACTGAGAGCCTGGGAGTGGAGCTAGAGAAGGTTTACAGAAAAGAGAGGCATTGTCTCCCGAGGTTGGGAGGCATCCTCCTGACCCAAATACAGCCTGTTCGCAAGGAAATAGATTCAGTCAGTGTAAAAGAACAGAAAATATAATTATTCAGCCTGTGTCTTCCAATTTCCATTTTCCAGTGGCTTCCCCCTTAGATCAGAGCGCCCTTACACGGTTTCCTTCCACCAGAGCTTCCTGTTTCAAATGTCAAGTTGTTTTATTGTCAATCCAGAAGTGAAAGAATCTTAGTTCAGGGTAAAAAAAAAATATTATATATTCTTCAAAGTCATTTAACCTGCCCCTCCCTGTGAAAGAATCTTAGTTCAGGGTAAAAAAAATCTTATGTATTCTTTGAAGTTATTTAACCTGCCCCTCCCCATCAGGAAGGCACCTCCTCTGACTCCCACCATGAAGGGCAGCCAGCCCCTGCCAAATGGAATCAGAGAAAGGTGAGAGTTGGAAGGGACCTTAAAGCCCCCCCAGTGCCACCCCCTGCCCTGGGCAGGGACACCTCCCACCACACCAGGTTGCTCCAAGCCCCCTCCAACCTGCCCTTCAACCCCTCCAGGGATGGGGCAGCCACAGCTTCTCGGGGCAACCTGGGCCAGGCTCTCACCACCCTCATAGTAAAAAATTTCTTCATTATGTCTCGCCTGAATCTACCCTTTTTTAGTTTAAAACCATTCCTTCTTCTCCTGTGGCTCCCCTCCCTCATCCAGAGTCCCTCCCCAGCTTTCCTGGAGCCCCCCTTCTTGAGGGACTGGAAGGGGCTCCAAGGTCTCCCCGGAGCCTTCTCTTCTCCAGGCTGACCCCCCCCCAACTCTCTCAGCCCCCCCTCCCAGCAGAGGGGCTCCAGCCCTCCCAGCATCTCTGGGGGGGTCTCCCCAGAGCAGAGCAGGGGGCTTGCTGGGCTGCCAGCCCACATTGATGGCTCCTGTTGAGCTTCTCACCCACCAACACCCCCAAGTCCTTCTCCTCAGGGCTGCTCCCCATCCAATCTCCTCCCAGCCTGGGTTTGTGCTTGGATTGTGACACTGGCCATTAGTGACTACCATTAGTGACTACCATTAATGACTACAACACTCCATGACAGCAAAGGTTACATTAGGGGAGGCTGATGCATGGCAAAAGAATATATATATATATAACTCACTAGGACTAATCCAAAATTAATTTCCATTTATTATTAAGGTAGCTTTGGGAAATCTCGTTGAAATGAAGACCTGTGAAAATACTTATTTAATCAAGTCCAAATAAAGAGGCTTAACGTTCAAATCTTTTAGTAAATCCTTAGAAGAACAGACTATGATGAAAGAATAAATGCCCCAAGCAAGCACCCAGTCAAATTAAAATGAAGCTCTTAAATAGATCAATGATCCAAGTGCAGAAAGTAGGTGAGAATAAAGCATGTTACAGCCAATAATGAAGATGTGAAAAGGACTATTATATGGAAAGGACTATTCTATGGAGCTCCAAGCTCAGGAGGGCAAACAAGAGCACACCAAAATAGAAGCAACACATAATTAAGGTGATGACCTGAGTCCTGGATTTACATCCACTGGCTCCACGTTTGCGTGCGATGAATCAGTTCTCCTCCAAGGAAACTTGGGAGGGTTTGGAGTTTATTAATAATCATGGAGACGGTAGCATAAAATGTGACCAGGCTCACACTTTTAGAATAAATTAAATTAGCTAAATTACAATAAATAGTAAATTACAATAAATTAATTAGGGCTGTAAATGAAGGGCTGCATTTTTTCTCAGGAATGCACATGCAACCCCCTTGTCTTTCCAGTGGGGAGGGAATAATTGCTCTGCCTCTACCCAGGGAAGTGCCTTAATTTAAGGATATATATAATTTCAGTGTTCCCATCTCTTTAAGTACTTTGCTGGATCGAGGCTGCCACATCAGTGTCCTTTACACAAGTCCTTGAGGACTTCCCACGAGGAGTCTTCTACAGCAAAACAGGCAGCCTCATGCCAAAATGTCAGAATTCCCAGGAATTTTATTAAAACCTTATTAGGAAGGTAAAATGTGATTGATGCTTCTGACAGCTCTGCGAATGACGGCGGTGTCAGCCACGAGGGGCTGGATTTACCTCTCAGGCTCACTCCTGTTTCTGTTCCAGACCCTGCTCTACCCTCACAGCTGTTCCTGAATGACTGACTTATTTTGAATACTTACTAAATAACATCTTTTTGACAGGATCACTCACTCTTGCCTCACTGCCTAAGTCCTAAGGTAATAAGATTGCAGCATTTGAAGTCAGGAATAAATTTTCCTATGTCACATTGAGAGAGAATTGATGTTTCAAGTATGGATTGCATTTATGTGCTGTGTGGGTACAGCCCAGGGGAAGATCCAGGGCCCTCGGCACTGAGACACGGGGCTGCCCAGTGTGTATTTATATTCTGAAAACCTTATTTTGAATTTTATTTATTCCTACAAGAAACCCTGTTGAACTTCACGGGACAATTCTGACAAGTTAAAATAACTCAATATATTGTGTGCCTGTTCAAACTCAGCTTATGTAGGTTACCCTAATTTTAAAAGTACAGCCTGGCTTTAATAGTCTGTGCCTGTCTGTCCCCGGGAGCTCTGAAACAGAACCACCGACGACACAGGAGATGAAAAGCAATAAATAATCAGATCTGTGCTGCAGCTATTACAGCTTCTAGGATATTGAGCTTTTTTTGCCAGGACAAAAATCCTGCAGCTGCTTTTATGGCACCATCTCTGTCACACGGCAAGTACCGCTGAGAACCTGGCCCACTTTGGGCAGCTGGATAATCACCCGCCTTTCTATAGGCTGATATTCAGCACTTGCTTATTTATAAGCAGAGAATTAGGCATGAAGCACCATAGATCTGCCACTGGTGCCAGTTCAATAACAGCAGGGGGAACCAGGCAGGCAGGAATTACAGAACAGCACTTTTTTCTGCACAACCATTTCACTGGGGACACTAGTTTGACATAAGACGATCAGCCTGTGTTGCTTCGTAATGAGTTGCTGTGTAAATGTTTGGGTTTGTTGATGTTTCTTCACTGTTCTTACCAAATCATTTGCATCAGTTCCAAAAAAAAACCACCATCCCAAAGGTGTTGGTCTGCAGAACCGGTGCGTTTTGACTCCATGGGATATTTCTCAGGAAATAAACAATCATTGTGTTGCTAAGATTTTTTTTTTTGTTTAATTTTTATCCTGTTTAGTAAAATGTTCATTGAACAGTATGGTAAAATAACCTTTCTCCTTTATACTGTGAGCCTTCAAACAGCAGGGAAGACTGGGCTCAGCCACAGCCATCTGCACAGGGGAGAAATGCTGCACCAACGTATGAATTGATGTGGAGAATCAATTAACGTGGCTTTGGCTTTAATAGCATCAGTTTCTAATTGGGGTCTTTTGTCCTTAAGGTAAACTTATAATCATTGCAAGTAATGCAGATTATGCTTGTATCATTTAGGGATATCATTTAGGGATGTCATTTAGGGATGTCATTTATAGAATGTATAGAATTGATAGAAATTCTCAACGGGCTCCAACATTTTCCGTCCCTCTGAAGCTGTTGGGATTTCACTGAATTTCACTGAATTTTAGAGTTGGAAGGGACCATAGAGATCATCTAGTCCAACTCCCCTGCTGAAGCAGGATTGCCTAGAGCTAGAGCATGTTACTCAGGAGCATCCAGGCGGGGCTTGAAAATCTCCAAGGAAGGGGACTCCACACCCTCCCTGGGATGATTTAACACTGTCTGCTTTTCCTTCCTAGCTATCCCTTTCTGCAGATCTTGAGTCCGTTCCAAACCCACCAGTCCGTCCCAGCTGGGCCACTCACCAGTCCATTGAGACCCTGCCCTCCAAAGCAGCAGCCAAGGCCCTGGCCCAGAGCTCCCAGTGGGACGCCGGGAGCCGACCAGCACCTGTCCAACCTCCAGTGCCAGAGCTGCAGCCCGACGGAACGCCTTGATGTAATTCCTACCAATTATCTTATTAGAATAAAAACAGAGGTACTTACAACGTACTTTACCAGCCTTCCTCAGGTCACAAAACAGTTCAGAATCTGAAATAGAGAAAAAAATATATATATAAAGAGACAGTCCAGTTTTGGGCCCCTCACCACAAAAAAGACGTTGAGGTGCTGGAGCGTGTCCAGAGAAGGGCAATGGAGCTGGTGAGGGGTCTGGAGCACAAGTCTTGTGAGAAGAGGCTGAGGGAGCTGGGGGTGTTCAGCCTGGAGAAGAGGAGGCTGAGGGGAGACCTTATTGCTCTCTACAACTCCCTGAAAGGAGGGTGTAGCCAGGGGGGGTCGGTCTCTTCTCCCAAGGAACAGGCCATGGGACAAGAAGAAATGGCCTCAAGTTGCTCCAGGGGAGGTTCAGATTGAAAATTAGGAACATATTTTCCATGGAAAGGGTTATCAAGCCTTGGAATGGGCTGCCCAGGGAAGTGGTTGAGGCCCCATCCCTGGAGGTGTTCAAAAGACAGGTTGATGTAGTGCTGGGGGACATGGTTTTGTGATATGGAGGGGTTTTTGTGTTTGTTGGTTTGTTTGTTTGTTTTTTATCAGAGCTAGGTTAATGGTTGGACTAGATGATCTTAAAGGTCCCTTCCAACCTGGACAATTCTATGATTCTATGATTCTATGATCACCTCTACCATGGAGCTGCTGGCTGCCTCCAGGAAGCCGTGTCACCCCCCGCGCCCCGGGCTGCTGATCTGCAGAGGCAGATGGTTATTTCCCCACCTTAAGAGCGCGCTTCCAGATACACTGATAAGAAATGGCTAAACAAGAACAGAGGAAGGTTGTTGTGCCTTCGCCCTTCCTCCTAGATGTGCATTTCCCCGCACTGCTTGGCATTTCCAGATCCTGCACAACTCTCATTAGCCACAGCCTTTGATTAAAGAACTGAAAATACCTTTTAAACCCCAGAGGCCAATGAATCAGCGCTGCCGCCATCTGAATTCCACCAGTAGGAGCAAGATCAGAATGGGAGCCCGAGGCTACAGCCCCGCTCAGATGTGGGGAACAAACCCAAACACGCCAGCCGCCCTCTTACCCAAGCTTTACCATCCCCTTCTGCCCAAAACTCCACCTGCACTTGCCAGGAGCAACGGCAGAGTTTGGTCCTGTAGCCTTGCTTTGCAGCCAAAACAAAGTTTTCCTTATTATTGCTCTTCTGAGCTAAAGAACCAGAAACTTGGAAAAAGGAAGAAGTTTAACTGAAGTTGGTGGGAGTTGCAGGTAGGGAGCACAGTTGGATTAAAACTGAGGATTTTTCACTGAATTTCACTGAATTTTAGAGTTGGAAGGGACCATAGAGATCATCTAGTCCAACTCCCCTGCTGAAGCAGGACCACCCAGAGCTTGTCAGAGCATGTTACTCAGGAGCATCCAGGCGGGTCTTGAAAATCTCCAAGGAAGGGGACTCCACACCCTCCCTGGGCAGCCTGTTCCAGGGCTCTGTCACCCTCACCGTGAAGAAGTTTCTCCTCATATTTGAGTGGAACCTCTTCTGTTCCAACTTGTGCCCGTTGCCCCTCGTCCTCTCACTGGGAACCACTGAAAAGAGTCTGGCTCCCTCCTCCTTCAACCCTCCCTGGAGATACTTGTAGGCATTGATAAGGTCTCCCCTCAGCCTTCTCTTTTTGGAAACATCCATCTGTGGCAAAACAGAAGAGGAGGGGAGGTGAGGTGTTGCCAGGGAAGTGGGAGCACTCACTTGGAGAGCGACGTCTCCGCAGCGGCGCTGGGGTTAGAACAGGTTAAAGGCTGGATACTGAAGAGCGTGGAGACCTTGTGGCGAAGGGAAAGCAGCTAATGATAGCAGCCAAATGCAAGATAAAAAGTTGCTGCAATAGGTGGATGAGGCTGATAATGAAAGGAGAACACAGCTCAGCTCACGTAACC